AGATAACAATAAAGATAACGTAAGATAATAATAACAAATATGATATTAAACAATAACAATAACAACAAAAATGATAAATAAATAAATGAATAAACTTCTAAACATCGAGAAGTAACTGCCAACACGTGGCCGCCAAAAATATGTCAATTAAATCAAAGTCACATTTCGGTTTCTGTGGTCTCCCAGTTTAAATACACACGCATATACACACACACTCACACACGCACACACGCACATACACACACACACACACACATACACACACGCACGCTCGCACATATACACACACGCACATACACACACAAGCACACACACACACACACGCACGCACGCACGCTCACACACACACACACACACACGCACGCACACACACACACACACACACACACACACACACACACACACACACACACACACACACACACACGCACACGTGCACACACAAACATGCTCACACACACACACAAGCACGCACATACACACACAGACACACACACACATACACAAGCACACACACACACACACACACACATATGCACACACACACACACGCTCAATGTAAGGGATTTTTGCCGTTATCAGCACAGCGTGGATATGTTCGTCAGCTGATGGAATTTCCTAGATTAAAAATTCGTATTCTTAAGCTAAAGAACTCGTTTACGTTATGTTTTAGATTCAAAAAGATATAATTTTGAATCTCTTTCAAAGACAAGACCAGAAGTTATTTTGGAAATCACCTTCACCGTGGGTTATATAAACGTCATTAACATATCATATGGCGAGGATATATGATAGAGTTGTTATGAAAACTGATATGATGAAGGAAACCCATTGTTCTCTTTTGAAATCAGTGGCCTATTTTTACTTAAAATCAGTTATTAGAATCGAAAAAAACTGTAACCATTGTATTTCCAATATTGTGTAACTTTTGTCTGTATGATGTAGTTATGTACCACTTTGTACATATTCTAAGTATATATGCCATTCTCAATGATAAAATAACCCAATCTGTGTCACTTCTCTTAACCTATATCACTAAATTCAAGGAAAATGCATTTCATCTCGTCCATCCACATACACACTCATATGATGTACGTGGCTTACATGGACAAATATGCACCTCTTGCCCTGGATTTAACTGCTGGATATGTAGGCTTTTCCTCTCTTCTTGAGAATTCTGCGTAAATTTCTTACTAACTGCCTTTCTTTCTAAGTCTCTTTTACAAGTATGCTTTCAACAGATCCGGTCTTGATATTTCTATTCCTGTAAAAAATCTGGTCGCTGGTAAATCCTCCTGTGCGGTTTATTCCTCTTATTTATTTATTTATTTAATCCTCTGCGGTTTATTCCCCTTATTTATTTATTTATTTAATCCTCTGCGATTTATTTTCCCTTATTTATTTATTTCGCAAGGTCCCTCTCCCTCCCTGTGAAGCTTTCGTCTTATATCGTGATTTTCTGTTTAATTCTCAAGTCTGAAAAGGATTTCGACGTCTTCATTGATAATGTTGCTCTTTGATCTTATGGTTTCCAAACATTTTTTGTTCATAAGGCAAACGTATGTGACGTCACACCCTGATCTAGTGTCATTATGCTTTATATTAATACACTAAGATTAAGTAAGATTAATGAAAGGAATCAATGACATTCTAAGCAAAATATACATTGAATTTCTTCGCGTTCTTTTATCGCGGTAGTGTCGTATCTCGTCGCTGTTACTAAGCTTTGTAAGTTCATGTCGCGAGAATAAAGACTGAATAATATAGTATATGACACTTTTTTAATATATAGAACAAATTAGATGCGATTCTAGTTTGTTGTAAGTGATTATTTCCCGCTAAAAAATATTGACATTGAAGGTATCGAAGGTTTTGGAATAATATTTTTTAATGGCGATAGAACTAATTCTCTTCATTTTGTCTTCAGCTTTTCTTTCGGTGTGTTTTCATACGACTTATTTTTATTTGTACGACTTTCCCCATCTATTTCAAGTTGACGATAAAATAATAGTATCCCCTAGCAATGAATCAAAATATTCATTTTCTGTAGTAATATTGTCTATAGAAAATGGCTATTGTAGAGGGGTATCTAATACAATTGAACGCTTTCTTCTTTTAACACTTTTTAACACTGCCCATTATATATCATCTTACTACACAAGGCCGGGTCTTTACATGTATCATTATAACTATTAGGCGTAATTGATAGTAATTATATCATATGCCGGGACGGTGATTATCAACTGAATGAACAATAGAAATGTACATTTTCTCTAATCCAAATTACAGAAAACGGTTTAACAAATACATATTTATTAGTGGTGAAAAAGCAATATATATATATATATATATATATATATATATGTATATATATATATATATATATATATATATATATATATATGTATGTATATATATATATATATATATATATATATATATATATATATATATATATATATATATATATATATATATATATTCAAATAAATTTAATCTTGATTTTCTGGTGGAATTACATCATAGGTTTTCCAAACATTATGTGTTATGATTATAGTCCCATTTCGGTTGTGAATATCTCAGTGAAGCAAACTCTGATGAATAATAAGGAAAAGTAATCTTTAAAATTATATATATTAGGTCTCAAGATCGATTGGATATATGTGAAATATTTAGCTGTTTTATGGAATGCATCGTTCCAGCACTACGTTTCTGTTCAACAAAAAATATTATATTTGTGACCTTTTGAAGCTTTTACAGGGACACACACACACACACACACACACACACACACACACACACACACACACACACACACACACACACACACACACACACACACACACACACACACACATAAATGTATACACACACACACTCTATAACACACACACATACACATATATATAAATATATAAACACACACAATATACACGCACCTACACACACACAGGCAGACCCACGCAAACAAAACAAAAACAAAAGAAGAAAAGAAGTCCAAGAAATCAAACTTATCCTCCCCCAAAGAGACAAGAAATGAAACTCCTTCCCACGCCACCCACCGCCCTTTCGTACCTTCCTGGCGACGGACATGGGCTTCATCCCATTAGGACACGCCGGGATGACCTTCCTGCAGGTGGCTTCGAAGATCTCGTCGATTGTCAGGTTCTCCTTCCGAGCGTACTTCTTCATGAAGGCCATCCCGAGGTCGTCCAAGTAGTGAACTGGAGTGTAGAAAGTGTAGATTTATTTAAGTAATAAATGATAGAATATAATATAGATTCTTTAAAAGGTTTTGATTGTGGTCATGTTGAGAAATTTATGTTGGCGCAGATTATGGCTTGGGTGAGTGTTTATTCGTTTTCATGGCGAGTGATTTGGTGGTGTTTATTTTTTGGCGAAGAACATAACAGTGTGATAACAGGCTTCTCGCGTTAAGAGGTAAATCATATGACGGTTGAATATATGTGTAGGATTCAAGCTAGATAGATTGTAAATAAAAGAACGAAGGAAATAACAAGAAATAGACGAATATGTCGTAAGTCTTTACCTTAGATTGTTTCATCAAGGCCTGTTGATTATTAACATGAAAATCACGTGTGGGCGCAGGCAATCAGAGTTATATTAATACATGAACACATCACACAACTAACAGGAGTTTACAAGTGAACTCTTAATGCTACCAAAAGCACATTTATGCAGGAACACAGTATTAACATGAAATTCACATGTGAACGTTTCATACGATGAAGTTTACATATGAACACTTAATATAAATAATATGAATTATATGTACATTTAACATGAAGTTTGCATATTACGACTTCATACAATGTAATTTACACATCATCACTTCATTCGACATAAAAGTTACACATGATATTCACACCTAAACACTTTTATTTATACGATTAACACGAAATTCTTACGAAAGACTCCGTACCCCTGATCCCCGAGCAGAGCCTGGTCATCTTCGGCGGGGAGAGGACGTACGAGCGTAGTCTGTCGGTGCTGCAGATGGCGAGGAGGGCCGCGTCGATGTGGTCCTCCAGGGATCCCTTCTCCTTCTGCCACTTCGTCAGGAGGCTGTCCAACTCTGCCGAGAGAATGTGGGTGGATGAGTAGGCTCTGCTATTCACACACTTGCAGATGCTCACACGCAAAATACGCACACATACATGCATACACTCAAGGCGAACACATACTAACATCCACATGCTTCTCCCTGTTCACGAGCATAAATTTAGAAAATTCGAAAACCAATATTCATGTAGTAAAGGTCCTGCCTACATTTAGATATTTCCTTCAGTACACTCTAAACTACTGAAATCGACATTCTGATGCTACCACAAGATGGAGAGAGAGATAGAGACACAGACTGAGACAGACAGACAGACAGACAAACAGACAGAGAGATGCGGAAATGATAAAGATTATGATTCATCTTTATATCTATTCTCTCTTTCGACCTGTCCTTATCTTATTCCCGAGAAGATTATCGATTTATCAGTTTTCTTTATCTTTCAGCTTCTGCACATCTCTCTTCCAGGTTACCATACATAACAGTTGGGAAGAAAAGGGTATAGTCTCTCTTTGTCTTGCCATTAACCTTTCCTACTATTTTCTATATGTCTGTCTGTCTGTCTCGCTGTCTGTCTACCTGCGTGTCTGTTTGTCTGTCTGTCTGCCTCTCTGTCTGTCTGCCTGCCTTTCTGTCTGTCTGTCTGTCTGCCTGCCTGCCTTTCTGTCTGTCTGTCTGCTTGCCTGTCTGTTTGTCTGTCTGGCTGTCTATCTATCTATCTTTCTATCTGTCTCTCTGTTTGTCTGTCTGGCTGTCTATCTATCTATCTATCTGTCTGTCAGTCAGTCTGTCTGTCTGTATTATCAAGGACTCCCTTCTCATATACTTTCAATATATTTTGCCGTCTCAGTCAGTTATCTTGATAAAACACAAAACAGTAATGCGAACGAGATTAAGGTGATATGCATGTTCAGTATCA